GTCGCTGCAGGTCAGATTGAACTGAAATACCAGAGAGATGCTTTGCAACGGATATACTGAATTAAATTGTTGGTATTTACCTTGGCTTTCCTTGGCTTTTTTTAACTCTCCTTCCATTTCCGTTTATCTGGCTTTGTCTTCCTATAAGGTCAAACCTCTAGTCTGATTGACCACCCTAGAGACACAGTGTTTGAAATGTTATAATTGGCCAATTTTCAGGGAATTTATAGAGCAGCCAAAGTGCGACCCCAGCATGCTGTTGATAGTCCTAAAAATAAGGACAGTATCGCATTCCTACCCTGTGTGACCTGACACAAAGATAATGAAAATAAAATAAATAAATAAACACAGCTGGTACAGAATACATGACTAAAAAGGCATACTGTAGTGTGAGTAGGGGCAGCTCAATTAAAAGCAGCGGCAAATAGGTGCGTTTTTAGTCGGGATTTAAAAAAAGAATGGTTTTACACAACCAAACCATTCAACATAATGCTGTCTTGCTGTACATTGTAGATCTTAAAACCACATCAAATGCCGCTTTCTTCATGCTCAGTTCAGCACCACTCATGGGAGGTTCAGCTTTTTCCACAGGTGCAAATTAAAGTGTGTGTTTCCAGGTTATTGTCTACTTCAGTCTCATCCTCTGAGCATTATGATCAGGAGGATGTTGCTGTTTACATTCCTGTGGCTAATCCCTAAACCCAGTGTCTCTTGAATCAAAGTGAATCACTCGCTTTTGATGTTCCCTCACCTCCTGTTTTACTGTATACCCCCTTGCCCCCGACCCTTCCCCCAACTCAGACGTGGCCTATATCCTCTGGCACACCCCATAGCCACATGCTCACACACACAAAACTGTGGCCTGCTTCCTGTCGGCGGGAGAAGCTGTTTTTACTGCGACTCCATTTTGGCGGAGAGGGCTAATTCCTCTGCTGTCTGGCTCTGTGCATGTGTGTGTATGTGTGTGTGTGCGCCTACACTCACATGTGCTTTTAAACATGTTTGCCTGCTCAGCTGAACATATTGTTGGAGTTGAGGCTGATACTGAATCTAACTCATACTTGTGCACATATGTGATTTTGTCTGCAATATCCCAACAGTGGTGTGGTTAGGCTCAGTTTGATGTGTACAGTTTACACAGAGAGAAGTAGAAACACCTAATAGTGTAAGTGAACCAAAAATTGAAAGCAACAAAAAGTGGATATCTTTACGGAAAAATAAACATTACTGTTGTAGTCAATTCAGGCCTTGACTCTACCTACGTTCAGAAACAGAAACATTCAGAAACAAAGCTTTAATAGATGATCATATCCACACACACACCTGTTATGACTGTCAACAGTGTTGCCTGAAGCCGTACTGCATTTGTGTTATATTGCTGCAAATACCAAGGTCACAAAAAACTAAAGTAAAGTCAGAACATTTCTCCAGCATGTAAGGAGCCTTTAGTTAATTTTCCTTGACAGCTTGTTCTTAATTTTTAGCATCATGATCAAGGACTTGGCTAGATGGTAACCCTCAAAGTGCGAAACTTAAAGTGGACCTATCATGCTATATTATAATAATATAGTGTATGACCATACCTATATAAGGCATATTTATACTTTTTTTTTTTCAAAATACCAAACAGATCATGCATTTTAGCCATGCCTCATTTTGCTCAATTTGAAATTGTTTAGCTCTGTTTCTGCAAGGGCTGATTCTGTGAGAACAGCACCACCTACTGGCCTGGCATATGTACTACAGCGTCTCCAGCGCTTTCGAACGGCAATGGCCGTGGCTGTCTCCTTCTGATTGGTGGAGTTGGCCCAATAGCCGTAGCGCCACTGTCTTGACGTCAGGACAGTGTTCAAATCTGGATCAGTTTTGATCAGATCCGTTGCAGCCCCTTTTTTAGAGATTTGGGTATGGAGGAAAATAGAGAGGGTTGTGTTTTCTGACACTTGGTGAGTTCCCTGGAACACCGGGGACACATATTCATGTATAAAAGACGTACAAAAGTGCATTTTGCATGATAGGTCCCCTTTAATTTAACCCTAAACCTAAATCGTTGTTTTGACAATCTATGCTAACCTATGCTGCCTTTCCCCTAATTATCTCATGAACATTTTCAAATCAAGGGTTACCATCTAGCCGACGACCTACTGTATTCTAACCTTTAATATTTGAGGTCAATGCCTAACCCTATAATCACCATCTTAATCCTCGATCAAGCCCCCACCAACAGTTCTGGCTTTTAAAGTCAACTTCTTTAGTCTGCAAAACACAACTTCATCATCTCCAAAAGATTCACAAATCATAGATTAAAACATCGATTACCTTCTAGATATGACCATCAATCAAGCCTCCACCAACAGTACTCGGTTTTGAAGCCAACTTCAGTAATAGGCAAAATGTGGAATAACAACTTTCATGTCCGTACATCAACTCATTGCCCCCCAAAATAGTAGACATCCTTGAATCATAGGATACATTTCTTTAAGGTAAATTAACTTAACTTCCAAGCATGAACCAGAAATAGATTTTATTTATATCATGAGGTCGTTAAAGTTAATGCTTAACTTTCAGAGGAATGAACGCAGCATTCTTGGCACCATTGGAAGCAATCCAATCAGTATACAGAGTGAACAGAGCACAGGCTGCTCATTTCAGAATGTAAACAGTCAACTTCTCCCTTCTATCAACAAGTCATGGTCAGGATTAAAGCCTTCAATCACTGCAGAGTAAACACCACGCTCCCACATACTGTACTCTCGCACATTCACACTTTTAAACACACACATGGTTTGCTGTGCATATAGACACAACATCTAAGCTGCATTTTCTGTAATTTGAGGTCTGACATTGAGACCACACATATTTCTCTGGCTATTTTATTAATCCTGCATTCTTCACAGTTGTTTGGAAAGGTTGTACTTTGGTAATTGGTTGCAGATGTAGAAGTTGTTCTTATGGACTATATGTGAATTGCCTTTACACTACACTTCCTTTTTCTCTAAAATTGTACAACATTCAGCAATAAAGCCTGCATGATGTCCTCGAAATCAGTGGTGTGGGGGTCGGGAATACTACAGCAACAATGTTGACGGAACATTTACACAACTTTAATACTTATCTGTAACTCATATTACTCTTTTCTTATCTTTCTTTCATCCTATCTTTCTAAGATAAATCAAAACTGCAAAAAAACATGATTTTTGTTCGGGTTGTCCGTACCTTGTATTTCGAACATAATTTTTCTCATGAGCGCCTATGAGGAATTTCTTCAGAATTTGACATAAACATCCACTCTGAATCAAGTAAGAACTGATTAGACTTTTGTGGTTGAACGTCAAGGACGATAATTGTATTTCCTTTTTGTATCCTTTACTCAAAAGTGATTCCAAAAAAGTGTAATGGGTAAATACTAATATGGCACAGTTTCTCTATGGGTATGTTCTGCCCTCACTGTTGTTATGAGTACAGTTATGCAGACGGATAACTCCTCGACAAGTGGCCATGTTTATCTTCTTTAATAAGATGTTTACATCCACAAGTCAACAGAGTAAAACTGAAAGAAACACAATATACATAGAAATTAGGCACTTAGCTGTGATAAACATATATATACAACGGTTCATGACATCACAAACATCACAAAATATGCATATGAATATATGTTTACACGCAAAAGTGCTGTGTAATACACATTACAAAACATGTGCTGACCATGCATCAAACACCACTGAATAGCCATCTACTTAACATCGAAACATCTAAATAAACATAGATATCCACTTATGAATATGTAAAGAACCAAAAATACTTACAGGCAATGCTTTCCACAACATAGCAAAAAAGGATGGGTACTAGTGATGTGTCGGTCGCGAACGAGCCGATTCTTTTGAACGGCTCTTTGGTACGAACGAGGGGAACCGAGTCGTACTTGGTGAGAGCCGTTATTGTTATCGTTCAATCGTTGGTCTGCACTCACTGCCTGCCAAAATCCACTCGCATTTTAAAAAGCTTGATTTTGTTCCCCAAATGTATTCTGTGAAGACCCGCCCCTACTCTGATTGGTAGGTTTCAGCACGAGGAGTGAGATGGGGTGGGTCTTAACGGAATACGCGAGAGAGAGAGAAGTCATAACAAGTGGTACAGGACAGGTAGACGACGTGTTTTTCGGATGGAAAATGAGCCAAACGCGAAAACGCAGCAGCATTTGGATGCACTTCGACCAAAACCCAGGCAGTGATAAAGCGCACCATTTGTAAAGGCAAAAATATCCTTTAAAGCAGGGTCAACAAATAATCTCCATCGCCACTTAAAAACACAGTATCTAATATTAAGAGTTGCGTGAATTTCATTCAAGGCAAGGCAACTTTATTTACTTAACACATACAGAGGGTAAATTCAAAGTAGTACATTCACTGACATGAATGACATGGATATGGCTCAGCTTTTTAAGCAGGTTATTGACGTGAAGTTTAAAAGTGAGACAATCATCAAGCCAGATACCAAGGTATTTGTAACAGGTAACCACTTCAAGTTTTATTCCTTGCGTAGTTACAATATCTAAAACAGGCTCTGGTGTCTTTTTAGCTTTTGAAAAGAGTATTACCTTGGTTTTATCAACATTTGAAAGAAGCTTTAGTTCAGAGAGTTGAGTCTGAATAATGTTAAAAACAGCTTGCAATTCAACAACAGCCTCCTTAATGCTTTCCACAACATAGCAAAGAAGGATGGATGCAAACTCTAATATTCTCATCTCTGTCCCTGTCAACCACTCCTCACATGTGGTTATCACTTCCTATGCTTTCAATGTAAGTCTGGCTGGAGTAAGACAGCATCTTAGACAGCACAGGGTATATCCAAACATTTTCAAAAACATTGATGTTGCCAAGTAAGTAGGACTTCTGCAATATGTTATTCTGTGTGTTTGATGTGTGCTGATGATACATTAGGGGGGAATCTTTCCAGAGTTGTTTTTAAAGAATTACATTTATGTTTCTCTCTCACAGATTCCTTTTATGTGACGGACCTTGATCCTATCAACCTGCAAACCAGTGTGTTTGACAAACAGCGTAAACACACACACAAACCATCCAACAGGACTGTCATCCACCAGAAACTGGAACATAAAATCTGCGCATTGACAATCATCCAGTGTGAGACACAGACAGCTACTGAAGGAGCCTGTTAAATATTCAGTTGACCGGCAGGACAGAAGGGCAGCCATGTTGATCATCTTAGCCTTCATCATCCTCTTCCATGTGGCTGCAGCCATTCTCCTCTTTGTTGCAACCATTCACAATGTGAGTATGAGACAAAAAAGGCCACACATTAGACACTAAGGAAGGGGATCAGGGCATAAGGGGAAATATAGGAATAATCTCAACTACTATCTTCAGCATATATAATAAAAGTTTCACTTATTTTGTTATTTTGACTTTATTCTGAACATTTAGATTTCCCATTTTGACTTACATTTCGACATTTGGAGTTAAACCTTGCTGTGCTGTTGTATTAGCTGTAAAATGTCTTTACTGTAGGGTATTTTTATTATTTGTACAGCGCTTTGGCTCGACCAAAAATCGTTTATAAATGTGCTATATAAATAAAACTTGATTTGATTTGATTTGAAACCTTGACAATACCACTTTGTTCTCAACATTTCCGCTTTATTTTGCGACATTTCAAATAATCTTTTGACAATTCATTTTCTCAATTAAACTCTTTCGCAAAATAACGACTTTATTCCTTTCGAAACATTGTGAATTTCGTCTCAATATTTTAACTTTATTCTCTTAGTTTTAATGGTATTTTCCACCGTTTAACTTTAATTTTGACATCTTGACCCTATATTCTTAACATTTCATAATTGTTTTAAACAGACAAATCAACTTCTATATTTGTGCCCCTTATGCCTGTCCCAAATACACTTTTAATAATTGTAACCGTTGTTTCGCCCCCCCCCCCCTGATTCAGGCATGGTGGGTGGTGACGCAGGGTGGCCGGGAAGTGATCTACGCTGACCTGTGGTACACCTGTAACTCCACCTGCTTTCCTGTGGAGAACAGCCATACTGTTGATGCAGGTAAGACAGTGTGTAGTTACTCAGCCTATGTGTGTGTACTGTAAGTATACTGTCATGTTTATGTATGCAACACCTCCTTTCTCTTTTCTCCTCAGCATATCTGCAGACCATCCAGGCTACTATGATCCTTGCCACTATTTTATGTTGTGTCAGCTTCTTCGTCTTCATCCTTCAGCTCTTCAAGCTCCAACAGGGAGAGAGATTCCTTTTCACCGCTATCATCCAGCTATTGGCCGGTAAGTGACATCCACACACATTTAACACATTTGTAGTCATTAGCATATATTTTTTCCTCCTGTTTGTGCTCATAAGCCTGCGTCGTTATACAATAATGATGATCCAGTGACATGTCCTTGTTATGGCAGGATTTATGGCCACACGTTTCATTTTCAGACTTGATGCACACTTTTAGACCATGAATATGTTCAGCCCAGCCCGAGTGTTGGGTTAAAGTGTTATTATTTGAATTTCCTAACATTTAAGAAGACATAGCAGAGCCTTTACTGTCATCATGTCACCTTGTGGTGATTTGGTTTCCAGCATTTTGTATGAGTGAAATGTCATCAAAGTTACCCAAAAACTTCAAATCGTATATGTTGTTCACTTCAATGGGATTGTCCGTTAACCCTAACAGCCAGGAAACAATGGCAAAGAGAGGAAGAAAACCTCTCAAAAGTAGACACCAAACAACAGCAAAATGCAGTTTCATTATAATATACACTATGAATCTTAGGAAATTACAGATTTCAGGTTTGAATCAATGTAATCCACTTTAGCAATAGATATTCGGCTACAGAGAAAGCTCCCAACAAGTCAATCGTTTCCTGTTGGAGTTTACCATTTAAAGGAAATAAAGCTATTCAGAGATCCCTACAAAAGTGTCATGTTATTTCCATAAGTGGCCCCAATTGGCGTCAGAAGGATTGTTGAATATATAAGGGTTTGAATGACCTCATTGACAATAAACTGTAATTTCCCTCTCTCCTCCTCCCAGCTCTATGTGTGATGATCGCAGCGTCTGTCTACACGGCTCAGAAGAACAGTTTCCACTTGGCCAATCTCCGGGAAGGCACCTACGGCTCCTCCTACATCCTGGCCTGGATCAGCTTCCCGATGACTCTCATGAGCGGCCTCATGTACCTGGTGCTCAGGAAGCGTAAATAGATGTGACGCACAGGCACGCAGATATCCAACAATATAAAAAGGAACACTTGGACACATGCATAAAGTCATACACTTTGACTCAACAAACCAGCATGCTAACATTCTGTCTCTTACCCTTAGGTTTTATAAGAGCATTGGAGAAAAAGGAAATACACAAATCCCCAATAATTTAAAGTGTCAGGTTCATGACCAGACTATTCAACAATAAAGCAGCACATCTTTGTCCACTTTACACACCTAAAGCCTACATTGTTGTACACCCTTCTTCTTCTTGATGGTACATTGTTCTCTCTAAAGTCAGCAATGATGCGCCAAGACTGTCCAGACACCCAGTTAGCTCAATCGACAGACTTTTCTTGACACTTCTTTCCATAAAAGTGCCTTAGAAACACTTTAGACAATGGACTTACAGTAACTAAACAACGGTGAGTTGGACAGTCTTTTTTTGCATTACATCTACTAAAACATGTTAAGCAAACATATACTATGATAAATCCAATGTTGCCAACTGTTCTGGATAGATTCATGTACATGAAGCTGAGGTAAAAGATATGCAATTCAAATGCAGAGGAGCCAATGCACCACACGTTCTCCACTTAGTTACTGCTTTGGATAGAAAACGCCCATTGCTGCATTTAGAGAGAACATGCTTTCACCATCTTCTTTCCCTCTTAGCTTCGACACAGGACGTTGTTCCAACATACTGTCCACTTGTTTCATTGTGTCCTTTTGACCGTTCATAGGAACCTGTCTGAAATTCCCAATCCCGAAGGATAAAAGTCAGAGACAAGTGGGGAAGTTTGTCTTATTGGGAGGCAGCCCCTGGACTTTATAAAGGGTCCATATTTTTTTGTTGTGAATCTTTAGTCAACTATTTTGTACATATTTGCTGTGTATGTATAATTTAGGTTATTGCCAAAAGCTTATTTTCTAAGACTAAAAAAATTTATCTTATGTTAACCATAGCATATAGGACTTGTAGTGAGGCACTAGTTGAAGTATAATATGTAGGATTTTAACTTGTTATTTTTATTCTTCTTTTACTGACTTGTGTTGTAATGATGAAAAAGGAACCAATGATGTGCTGTGATATCTGAGATTTCAAATGGCAACAGAGGAACGTGTAAACTTGAAATAAGAATGAACTTTTCTTTGTTACTCTTTTTTTGTTCACAGCTTCACTGAGAAAAAAACATCGCTATTTATTGATTAAAACCACTGTTGTGTATTTTGAGCATCATGTGACAAAGGATGTATGAAGTAATTAAGTCTTGCCATATTTGTTTGCCTCTTTTGGCTGGGCTACTGTTTGTTTGATCGATTACTGAAACATCTCTAACACTCCTGTTCGTGCTCCGGCATTTAACAACAATAAATGTGTTACTGTACTGTACCCCAAATTCCCAGAATACTTCTAATTTTGTGGAAATATAGGGATAATGTTTGAGATAATATGTAGACTTTTTTGATCTTTCTTTATCTGAGTGTGGGGTTGTAACAGTTAAGGGAGACCAGCATTCATTCATGCATACAGCTTGGACTTGATGGATCCTTCCGGTGCACAGTTTATTTTGTGATAGGAATGTGTTTGTGTTGTTTGGTCCACAGACTGGTAACTTTTTCATCAATAATGAAGATGCAGGAAAAAACAAGAACGTGAAGATTTTTTACTCTTATCTCGAGATACTTGAAAATGATCAAAAAAACATTATTGGAAGCCGAGTTTGTGTTTGTTGTTCCAGATAATTTTGCGAAGATGTAATCTTTAGAGTGTTCGACTAAATAATAAACCTCCTGTTTCAATGCAAGTTCTTTTTTGGAAGACCTTTTTTAACCTATATTGAAATGAAAAGTAAGTTGCTAGCTCATGTCAAATGATTTCAAGACAGATCTAAATAAAAAGATTACTTCAATGTGCAAAGTCCGTCGCAAATATTCAACAGCAACCACAGGATTCACCTCTAAGAGCAACTCTTGAGTATAATTGGTCATGTTTCGGTTTATGGTTGTTATAATTGTTCTGCAGTTTGTTTGATGTCAATGTAGATGTAATGTTCATGGGGATTTAAAAAAACATTTTTCAACCTGTTTGAATATTTAAAACGATTCATCAAGTATTAATTCCACATTGATTTAGGGTCTGAGAACTTTTTTTCCAAAAACTGTGTTAGTTTGACAGCGTCTCCAGGCGTGTATCAAGTTCAGAAGCTTTTACAATTTTAGTCGAATAAATAACAACATGATATAACTTTTAACATAATCAAAATCAGTAAATTCTTCGGAAATATGCTTATATTTTACTGTCTTATAATGTATCCACATGTCTGGTTTTGTCTGCTATTGACATCCAGTGGACGGAAAGAAAACTACACAATGTTAAGGTAATAGTTTTATGGTTTCAGGCTACAGAAGCAACTGTCAACATCTCCTGATCTGCTTTTTCAGCTTGGTGCATTCTGCTTATCAAAAACAGCAGATTCAAAACAACAAGACTTAAAGGTGCTTATTTTTGATCCTATTGCTTCAATAACCTTCAAAGTAGATCTCAATAAATGTATTTTATTTTGAATGCATTTTCTTTGTGTGTGCAAAATCTGTCATTGAGTTACTGTTCTATCTATACTCATCAATACTGATAGTGCATGTTTCCCTCCCACTCCCCCTCCCTGCTGAAAGATCTCTTCAATGCTACAGATTACTACTTTCCTAAGGTTTAGTATTCAATAGATAAATTAATCTGGTATAGAATACAGTTTGTGATATCATCTTACTGTTTCAAATAGCTGTGAATGATCTGTTAACATGACTAGGACAACCTAAGTGAAACACACTTGAAACATTTTACACTAACAAAAATATCTTACCATTGTTACAGTATAGCTGTTTTTAGATCCTGTCAAAGCGAGCGAGTGATCACATAGCAGAGTACACAGTGGATATGATGACTATGTCCCTAGCACTTCAGTGGATAGAGGAAATACAACCAATGCGAGTGGTCATTTGCTCAGACTAAGGAAACTGAGTAGCAACACAATTTTTGACGCTATTAAACATTTATATCTGGCTCTTGAGGGCTCTGAAGTGAAGTTTACTTCTTGCGCCAATGATAGAAGTCTGGAGGACTGGCCAAAAAGAACAAAAAGATGGAGAAAACCTGGGCCAGCCACACCGTGGGCCCTCGGACCAAGAACTCCCCCCCCCAATCTAAAAGGCAGATTAATAAAATAAACTAATAAATAAAGCCGCGAAAACTGGACTACCAGGTCCTCCAGGCTAAGAAGAATAAACAAAAAGACCTGACCAAATAGAGCACTAACTCCTAAATGAAGCTCAGCGTAAGTTCAATCAGGAAGACCAAGCTCTTCATTCAGATTACACGTCACCTCACTACACTCTCCTTCCCAGTGTTGCCAACTCCATAGTAAGGAAAGCTAATTGGCTGTCCGAAAAGTCGCCAGAAGTCCCTAAATGACGTCATCGCCTAATTTGCATATCATGTAATAGCGGTAAAAAAACGTTCCACCCCCTTCAAGGATCAAAACTTGAAACCACCAGACAGAGTAAATCCAGACAACAGTAGATCAGAAATGTCTATTAGAAAAAGTAGAAAGTAGTTTTTAGTAGAAATCTCCCTTACAATAAAGGCAGTATAGTATGCCCGTGTGTGTCATCTCCAATAAATGGCTTCAACCATCCTTTAAACTCAGGGTTTGATTCCCACTCCTTTCTGTACTTTTGTGAATACAGTTTAGACTGTGACATGATGACCTACGTGGATGTTTAGCTTGTCAGAGGCACACACACAGTGGACGAGGTGATTAAGTGACTGAGGCTGTGTGAGTCAAAGCAAAGCAAAGGCAGTTATTTATTATAGTGTGACAGTGACAGTGAAGAAACATTTACATTTTACATTTAAATCCCGCTCATGCGCAATTCATTTGCCGTCTCGACGCGGGAGAGTGTGGCTGTCTCCTCTCTGCTCTGACTGCAGCTGAGCTGCTGCGGGAGGCAACTGTGAGTCTGAGCGCCTGTGAGTACTATGGGAGGGCAGAGGGGCTCACGGCAGCACCCGCGGCTCGTTAACTGCTGAACAATATGTGAGTCTCCAAACACCAGAAAAGTCCCTAATAACACTATTACAAGTCGTTAAATTAGTCGTTAGTCGCTTTTGACAAAAATAAGTAGCCGGAGGGTTTGGAAAGCCGCCGAATTTAACGAGAAAGTCGCCAAGTTGGCAACACTGCTCCTTCCTCATTAAGTGATCGGGGGCGTCTCTCCCCAGCTAACCAATCTCTCCTCTCTCCATTCTCACAAGCCTATCATAGCTCCCGCTAATCCCTTTATATCTGCTCTTCCCTCTGTCAGCTGTCATTCCAGGTGACAAAACGCAACCCTCCTCCACCCCTTTCGCCTCCCGTCTCCTTCAGGACCAAGCTAAACCTTCTCCCTTCAGTCCGTTCCCACCTACTTACACCACCACCAGTGTCTAGACCCCGGGGGGGTTTCATTGGAGCGGTTCTTCCCCCTCCTGAATGATTATCCTGCACACTGGGGCCTAATCGCCAAACACCATTCCATTCTCCTGTTATAATTATGGCAATCATTATTGAAGAGTTTATCGCCGGCCACTAGAGGGCAGCGTCTCACTGCTGTCGCACCGGATATGCCGCGCTCTGACCCGGTAGTGCTGAGCGGCCATTTTAGTTCAAACATTGTTCATTCACTCCGCCTCGTGTCGAGACGTTCATCCACTCACACATGTAAGACTGTTCCCACTATTGTTGGTGTATATATACGTGGTGTCGTAGCATATATTTGTGTTGTGTTAATGATGACATGCATGTATGTAATACTTTGTCAGCTTACCTCGCTGTATTACTCTGTTTCAGGGTGTCGTCATCTTTGTCATTAAAACACTGAAACTGACATTGAGGAGTGTGTTTCTTCATGACGACACCATGGTCGTTGTTGGATGCCCTGCCCCCGGCTGCGAGTTCAAATCCGAAGACGTATCTGAAGCACTCGTCATTGCCCTATTGACGATTCATGGATTTAGCCACCAGCACGCAGCGCCTGTCATGGCCGCGCCAGCCCAGGCCCCAGCCCCTCACGGCCCGAGACTCGATCAGCCCAAAGTTGATGTGGGCGTATCGATAGAGGAATGGAACGTGTTCATCCGCCGTTGGAATGTATTCCGCGCCGGCTCAGGCATAGGGAATGCCCAGGCCCCATTCCAGCTGTTTCAGTGCGCTGGGCCTGTACTTGGAGACAGCCTGTTGAAAGCCGTCCCCGACGCCGCTTCCGGACCCTTGCCAGATCTGATCGCCGTCATGCGTTCCCTAGCTGTCATCCCAGTCGCTACATGCGTCCTGCGCACCGAGCTACTCCAGTTACGCCAGGAACGCGACGAGACATTCCGCGCATTCGCTGCCAGAGTGCGGGGTAAAGCAGAGACATGCGCATATAATGCAGTATGCGAGTGTGGTAAAGACGTGGACTATACCGACCACATTATCCGTGATGTTCTGCTCAATGGCATCTATGACTCGGACATACGCCGCGAGACGCTGGGGACATCTGATGTCCTGGTCAAGCCAGTTAACGATGTAATTGCACTCGTCTAGAACAAAGAGATGGCCCGTAACGCTCTCCCGTCGTCCTCACTATCAGCCATGTCGTCATTCCGGCGCCTGCAGACGACTCCACAGACGAGCCCCGCCCCGAGCCCTGCAGCCGGGGCTAAACGTGCCTCGTGCCCGGAATGTAAGAGCGTCTTCAACGTCTTCACGGAGGGGCCTCGCGGGTGGAATCCGAAGCCTCACCTGGTGTGCATCGGCTGCTACAGGGCCCGCCGACGACAGAGGCGTCCACAGCCGTCATCCGACAGTCAACATGCCGCCATGGGGTCGGAGCTGGTCTCCCAGGTCTCGTCGGTGCGAGCTGGAGCCCGCCCTGGCCGACGTCACGGGAGCCATCGCCGACGCCGCGTCCCTACGTCGCACGGCTGTCTCAACAGGCCTGCACCTATCAGACTCGAGCACCACATCTTCTCCAAAGGCGAATGGAGACGAGCCAGGATGAGAGACCACCCCCGAGCATTGATCACCATCTCGATGGACTCGCCAGTCGGGCTGAGGGATGGCACCAGCAACCGGGGCTCGGCCGACGGAGCTCGGATATCCGCCGTCGCGGACACTGGCGCGCAGTCGGACCTTTGGTCTCTGGAGGAGTTCCTGGCCTGCGGTTTCGCGCGGGACGACTTGCGACCCGTCAGCCTTAGCCTGTCGGCCGCCAACCGCTCCCCTATAGCCATCAAGGGAGCGTTCTTTGCCAGGCTCTCGACGACCTGCAGCGGGGGGCGTGTTACATCCTGCCGTTCCATGGTATACGTGAGCAGCTCAGTCCGGGCCATGTACCTATCCTACGAGTCGTTGCTCAACCTCTGCCTCTTGCCCGTGGGCTTCCCGTCGGACGACATTGCAGGGGGGCCCCAGGACGGGTGTGGCCCTGACACGGCTGACACGCCAGACCAGCCCTTATCCGTCAATGCGACGAGGTCAACCAACGGTGGCTGCGTGGGGCCAGGTGACCCCCAGGACGCCCAGTGCTCATGTCCTCAGCGCACGGTCCCCCCGGCGCGCCCCGCAGCTCTGCCGTCCCCTTGTACGCCAGAGAACAACAGCCGGATGAAAGGTTGGCTGCTCGGGAGATATGCCTCGTTGACATTCAATACTTGCCCCCATCGGGCACTACCATGCATGGAGGGGCCACCTATCGAGATGCACGTGGACCCCGCAGCTACACCTAA